TTGTTGAGAATGGATTTTATTTTTTTTTTTTTTTACCACTTGTAGAAAGTTTTTTTTTTTTTAAGGAACAAGTTGTGTTTTTTTTTTTTTTTACCCTGTGGCCAGTGGTTTTTTTTTTTTTTTGCACCTTAGAATCCTCTTTTTTTTTTTTTAAATCCTGATGCCCACATTTTTTTTTTTTTCGACCATTCCTTCACAATTTTTTTTTTTTTGCCCCGGGCATCAGGATTTTTTTTTTTTTTCTCAGTGATTTCAAGCTTTTTTTTTTTTTTCGCCCTCCACTGTAGACTTTTTTTTTTTTTAATCAGCAGGGTGTAGATTTTTTTTTTTTTAAAAACAGGAACTTTAGTTTTTTTTTTTTTGACACTAGAGCCAAACTTTTTTTTTTTTTTCAAATTAGTTATTGTCATTTTTTTTTTTTTATAGCAAATACAGCCAATTTTTTTTTTTTTTAATTAATTGAAAAATGTTTTTTTTTTTTTGCAATGTCAGGCTGGAGTTTTTTTTTTTTTGAGAGTGCTTTTCAAAGTTTTTTTTTTTTTTTTTGTCTTGGCTTGTTTTTTTTTTTTTTTTATTTTTAAAATCATGATTTTTTTTTTTTTATGCCAAGAGATAATGTTTTTTTTTTTTTTAAATGCTGTATAGATATTTTTTTTTTTTTTGTGCAAAATGTCATTAATTTTTTTTTTTTTTCTCTTTGAACAGAGCCTTTTTTTTTTTTTAGCTCTGAGGGTTAGGTTTTTTTTTTTTTTAAGAAAAAACTATGATGTTTTTTTTTTTTTGTTTTAAATTGTGCTCTTTTTTTTTTTTTTACAAATGTGTGGTTTTTTTTTTTTTTTTTTTCCCCCCTGAGATGGCGTTTTTTTTTTTTTCCAGACTGGAGTGCAGTTTTTTTTTTTTTTCTTACTGCAACCTCTGCTTTTTTTTTTTTTGCAATTCTCCTGCCTCATTTTTTTTTTTTTCTGGGATTTCAGGCATGTTTTTTTTTTTTTAGCTAATTTTTGTATTTTTTTTTTTTTTTTGGTTTTACCACGTTGGCTTTTTTTTTTTTTAACTCCTGACCTTAGGTTTTTTTTTTTTTTTGGCCTCCCAAAGTGCTTTTTTTTTTTTTTTGAGCCACCACGCCCGGTTTTTTTTTTTTTTTTATTTTAATAAACTTTTTTTTTTTTTTTTCTTGCCGCATTAAATATTTTTTTTTTTTTCTTGGAAACAATGTTATTTTTTTTTTTTTTGTTTTTTGCTTATTTTATTTTTTTTTTTTTTGCCACCATCCCAGAAATTTTTTTTTTTTTTACCCCTTACTTACCTGTTTTTTTTTTTTTTCCACTTGCCGTCTCTTTTTTTTTTTTTTTAGAAAGCACAGCAAGCCTTTTTTTTTTTTTAGCTTTCCATGGGAACTTTTTTTTTTTTTTCCATGTCATCATGCTGTTTTTTTTTTTTTTCTTACAAAGAGTGAATATTTTTTTTTTTTTGAAGTCCTCTGGACATTTTTTTTTTTTTTTTCATAGTGACGCGATAATTTTTTTTTTTTTACGGTGCACTAACTCATTTTTTTTTTTTTTCCGTAAGTAACTAAACATTTTTTTTTTTTTGCTGTGGTTTTGGTCAATTTTTTTTTTTTTCTCTCTCCAGGGTTCGCTTTTTTTTTTTTTGTAAAGCCTCAATACTTTTTTTTTTTTTTTAACACGCAATAGTCACATTTTTTTTTTTTTACAACTTGACCAATGTTTTTTTTTTTTTTTTAGCACATAACAAGGGTTTTTTTTTTTTTTGACGCCCTGAAATGACATTTTTTTTTTTTTTTCCTATGATGTGCTGATTTTTTTTTTTTTAAAAACTTTTTGGCATTTTTTTTTTTTTTTAATACTTCCTTGAACATTTTTTTTTTTTTTGTGCAGACACAGAATTATTTTTTTTTTTTTAGATTACCAGTATCTATTTTTTTTTTTTTTGAAAAGCTGGGAGGCAGTTTTTTTTTTTTTCCCGATGTCATTTTATTTTTTTTTTTTTTTGAGTCTAAGGGGTTTAGTTTTTTTTTTTTTGCTGACAGGGCTCCTGGTTTTTTTTTTTTTCCAAGTCGCTGCAGCGGTTTTTTTTTTTTTCACAAGGTGTGGGATGATTTTTTTTTTTTTTTTGTGGCCCAAGGTGTTTTTTTTTTTTTTCCGAATGCTCCCTGGAGTTTTTTTTTTTTTACAGGCACTGGATGGTCTTTTTTTTTTTTTTGGAGGAGTGGTGGAGCTTTTTTTTTTTTTCCAGCCATGAGGGCTAGTTTTTTTTTTTTTACCTCTTGCATTCTAACTTTTTTTTTTTTTTGACACCTTTCCAGTGGTTTTTTTTTTTTTAACACTGTCAGGAACTTTTTTTTTTTTTTTCTCAGGTGAGCTCACAATTTTTTTTTTTTTCAAGCCAAAGGGTAGCTTTTTTTTTTTTTTAGGGAAACCAGCCCCCATTTTTTTTTTTTTTAAGATGCCTTGGGTTTTTTTTTTTTTTTTGTTTTAACACAAATTGCTTTTTTTTTTTTTTTCTTGAACCGTACCAATTTTTTTTTTTTTCTCAGCATCCCCATTCCTTTTTTTTTTTTTAGGATTGGAGTGCCCAGTTTTTTTTTTTTTTGGGACCCTGCTGTGGCTTTTTTTTTTTTTCTGCATAGCCTCGCCCTTTTTTTTTTTTTTACACAGCTGGCCACCAGTTTTTTTTTTTTTTCCCTTGTCCTCTTGGTTTTTTTTTTTTTTCTCCTCGGAGACTCCACTTTTTTTTTTTTTTCCTGAAACACAGTTTCTTTTTTTTTTTTTTTTGGAAGACTGGTCTTTTTTTTTTTTTTTATTTTCTTCTGCTTGTCTTTTTTTTTTTTTACTGAGTTTACCTTTCGTTTTTTTTTTTTTCCTGTTGTGCATTTCTTTTTTTTTTTTTTTCCACTGAAACTAGAAATTTTTTTTTTTTTTGATAAATAACAAGCCTCTTTTTTTTTTTTTCTTCCCCCGAAGCCTTGTTTTTTTTTTTTTCCACACCATGTCTGAGTTTTTTTTTTTTTTCCCAGCATCCTCCAGCCTTTTTTTTTTTTTACCAAACTTGAATGGCATTTTTTTTTTTTTCACCCACCCCAAGAGCCTTTTTTTTTTTTTCCAGGATGTGTACTTTATTTTTTTTTTTTTGGTTCTATGGGGGCAGATTTTTTTTTTTTTTGACCGGCTCTATACCATTTTTTTTTTTTTGAAAGGGCTCCTGAAGTTTTTTTTTTTTTTAGGGCCAGGATGGAGAGTTTTTTTTTTTTTTGCCCCCAATAAGAGCCTTTTTTTTTTTTTCTCATTTCCATTCTGAGTTTTTTTTTTTTTACCAGCCATGGGGCTGGTTTTTTTTTTTTTGGTCACCTGAGTAAGGCTTTTTTTTTTTTTTGGGGCGGACACTGTGCTTTTTTTTTTTTTTCCCCCTACAGGACTGGTTTTTTTTTTTTTCAGCTAGGCCGATATCCTTTTTTTTTTTTTCACCTCACAGAAGGTCATTTTTTTTTTTTTTACAACCAGTGACCGCCTTTTTTTTTTTTTAACAACCCATTTCCTGATTTTTTTTTTTTTCAACACAAACGCCATCATTTTTTTTTTTTTCCCTCTGCCCGCTCCTGTTTTTTTTTTTTTTCCTAAAGTAACTCCCTTTTTTTTTTTTTTCCCCCCAAATCTCAGAGTTTTTTTTTTTTTGGGCCCAGCCTGCAACCTTTTTTTTTTTTTTGTGACAGGGAAGTCAGTTTTTTTTTTTTTCCAAGGTCACCCTGCCATTTTTTTTTTTTTGCAACAAGCAGGGTCTCTTTTTTTTTTTTTAGCAAGACCACCCGAGATTTTTTTTTTTTTCCGCCGCTGACTGGCCATTTTTTTTTTTTTGAATTTCTCATCTCGGTTTTTTTTTTTTTTCACAAGGTTTTAGTTTTTTTTTTTTTTTTTGGCCACTGCCTTGTGCTTTTTTTTTTTTTTGTTGGTTTCACCAAATATTTTTTTTTTTTTTGGATATTATATAATTGTTTTTTTTTTTTTGCTCTCTGTTCCTATGATTTTTTTTTTTTTTCGAGAAGGGAGCCCAGTTTTTTTTTTTTTCCATCAGTGGGAAATGATTTTTTTTTTTTTTACCATGTTGTAAATCATTTTTTTTTTTTTGCTAGGAAAAACCAAAATTTTTTTTTTTTTATGTTTAAAAATCTGCCTTTTTTTTTTTTTTCCACAGTAGAGATCTATTTTTTTTTTTTTAACATTTGCCTAGACACTTTTTTTTTTTTTTTAATACATTTTAGGATTTTTTTTTTTTTTACCTTTTAGATAAGAATTTTTTTTTTTTTTTCCATTAAAGTAGAGAATTTTTTTTTTTTTACACGTTGAGGTTAGGATTTTTTTTTTTTTTGGTCCTTTCCCACCCCTTTTTTTTTTTTTTCCCCAAATGAGTTCCCTTTTTTTTTTTTTTGGGTTTCTCCTTTGACTTTTTTTTTTTTTTCTCATGCTATAGCTGCTTTTTTTTTTTTTGAGATGGGTGGAGCTTCTTTTTTTTTTTTTGTGAGGATCCCAATAATTTTTTTTTTTTTTAGGGTAAGCGGTGTCTCTTTTTTTTTTTTTCCTTCATCCAAGCCTGCTTTTTTTTTTTTTCAAGGCTCCAAACCCACTTTTTTTTTTTTTTGATTTTAGCCCTCAGCTTTTTTTTTTTTTCCTCCACCAAGCCTCCATTTTTTTTTTTTTCGTGTTATGGTTCATAATTTTTTTTTTTTTCTAGGCAGCTGCTGTTGTTTTTTTTTTTTTAATGTAAGAGTCTCTCCTTTTTTTTTTTTTTTTTTTTTTTT